ACGTGGGGACCACGCATGCCTGGTGGCTGAATTTGATAAATTTTAGTTGCATACGAACTGGTGACACTCCCTTAAAATTTCAGCTTTCTAGCTTTCCTAGATCCCAATTTAGCGATTTTCCCGCTAGGAAACTTCAAAGGACCGTACATGAGGACGACGCACGTCTGGAGGTTGAATCTGAAATCTTTGTGTTCATTGACGAGGAACATAGCTGCAAAGTTTCAGCCTTCTAGCTTTTCCAGTTCCCAAGTTAGCGATTTTGCCGCCAAAACTTTGAGGGGCTCGTACGCTGGGCCTAGACGTGCATGATGGACGGTACCGCGGTCCTAAGGTGTACTTGGTCAGGGAACCCAGTTGCAAAATTTTGATGCCAGAGCTTGCTTGGGTGCCGAGTTGAAATACCCAGACACACACATACACACACACACACACACACACACACACACACACCGGGGTCATCACAATACGCGTTTTCGCATTTGCATATTTGCAAAAACGCATAAAAACAGCCACTGGACCACACAAGAGGAACAAACCTGCTACTAACTTGCTTCTAAGTAGTCCTTGAAAGAGGAGACCATACGTCGTGGAGGGAGCTTTCTTTTGTAAACGAGCTTGAACCGGGAGAAAACCATCCGGACGACCGACTACTGTATCACCGGATATTGTATCCCAGACAGGATTTTACAGATTTTTTAAGGCAGCAATATGCCTTCTTTTCCTGTCTCTCTTCTACATACTTTTTGCGGCAGTTTCATCTTTGTCGACTTTTCGTGGGTTTCCCATAACACAATAATAGCTTTTTCGGCGGGTGACTCTGTTACTTCCGAGCCCCTTCATCTCACATACAAAGTGAATATCAGCAGAGTTGAAAATTAGAAAAACTTTTTGATTAAAATTTCTGATAAAACAAAGAACTGACTTCGGATATGAGCCACTGAAGAAAGGCGGCTTGAGAATTCCGGCTGGAAATGCTGCAAATGCTGATTATTGATTACGCGATAACTTTTTATGACATTCATCTGGCAAATCGAGAATTCAATAATGAAGATTATTAAAGTGCATCCGGAGAAAATCTTTTTTCGAAGCCTATTTTTAACCACAAGTCGTATAAAACTGAAGGCATTAAGTATTTAAAATTTAATAGGTTAGTACTTAATAGCTTACTCAAGGCATTCTTCTCCGGCGAGTAAAACGCGTTGACAACGGCTGGACTCACTTCGAACTCGAACTTGTCGAATGGCTTTTTCATCCGCAAAAATTCTTTTTCTTGAGACCAAACAAGCACCTTCCTCAGCAGGTCAAAATATGAATCCTTCGCTGTGAAATTCAACTAAAGTTATTTATTTCAGTTGTGGAAACCATAATTGAGGTGGCTGAAATTTTGTCTTTGAAGTACTGCTCAAGGAAGTTTCGCATACAGTCACGATTCACATACAGTCACGGCGGTTTGTCAAAGTTTCAAGTCGCTACCACCGGCTGCTCTTCCATTAATATAGCGAGTAGTAGACACTGCTTTAGAATAACAGATGTCGAATAATCCCGTCCTCGATTACGAACTAACAGCACAAACAAGTGTGACTCCAGAAAAACATAAGCACGCTTCGTGCAAATGCTAACGATAAGAATGAACGAGTAGAAAGGCGGCAATTTAAACATAGCTCTCGCAGATAGTGCCCTTTTAATTAAAGGGCGTGAACCAAGAGAGAACTGAACCGCTCGTCTTTGCTTCTAGAGCTAAACGTGCTGCCCATTGCATTACCCGTCCCTATGTTTCACGCACTTGCTGGAGTACCTACATGCCGTATGCATATTATTTGCACATTTTCTTTTTAATGCTCCCATAAGGAGCTCACACTCATGTTGACCCCTTCCACTACAGCAGCTGATCAAAATA